TGATCTTAAGGTACTTTCCAACCCTAACTATATTCTATGATTCTATAAATTCTACGATGGCAGTTTATCTGTTCATTTCCAGATAGAAAAGCATTATGAAACTTTGCCAAAGCAAACAAACTGTAAGTGCAAACAGACTTTTAAATTACCTTAACATACTAGAAGAACATCTGGTACAAACACTGTCAAGTTTCCATGCATTCTTTGATAAGTATTTGTGGTTAGAGTTTCAGCTGCACTGGGCTTTTCTTAAGAAAACTACCTTTAATGAACTATGCTCACAGTTCATAAATGCTCAAAGAATATTCTCACAAAATAATTAACCCTGAATAAGCTTTCAATAGAAATTTCTCGCCCCAAAGACTGCTTTGCAGTGCATGTTCATGCTTAATTCCCTGATGTATGACTGTGCAGTTAGCTTTTGTGATGATGGTAGGCAAGCTACCAATTACTGTTTAGTCTTGACAAATCCTCTAATTCATTGGTAAAACAGAATTAAAACATGAAAATAAAATAATAATCTGATAAGCAACAGTAAGAAGTAAAACCATGAAGTACCTTCAGGAAAAATACCAAGCAACTACTATGAATGACCAGCACAAATTGGGCTGGTGCTCACTGAAGAACAAAGATCTGGATAGTGAAAGGCAAGCCCTGTATCATCACATATTCCCAGACTGACTAGCATTAAGTAGCCTACAGTACTAATATTATGAGGACATGATCAGAGTATTTGTTATACATTGCTGAGATAAGACTTAATAATTCTGACAGATCTTACATTCCAGTTCCTGACACAGACATAAAGATAGTCAGAGGTGGACCAATAAAAATACATTAAATGATCTCTTTTTTTTTTTTTAAGAAATAATTCATTTTGCATTTTACAACAGTTTCTCTTTACTTCTTACAAGTAGAAACACTCAAGTTGTTTTTAAAGAATGTTAATCCCAAAAGAGAAAGAACATTCGATTTTTCTACAAATACACTGAAAATCCTAATTTCATTCTTCCAGTGCTGTCTGGTGTTTACCAGACTGAGATCATGGTAAATTTCAAATTTCTATTTTTTCTCCTCATAGCACTGTTGCCAGGATCCTACAAGGTCCCTACAGAATTAAGGCGACGTTTGCTGAGCATGAAGTATGAATTCCACAGTTTGCATGAACTACCTACACCTTTCTGCTGCCAGATCCACTTTCACATGCCAGTGCACATCAATTCCAACTGAATACTACAGTCCATGGCCCATTCTGAACTGAGCAAAACCACATGATGATTCCCCAGTGTCCATAAAACTTCATAGTGGACTGAAAAGACAACAATTTAATTGTCCAATTGTTGTCAGGCAAATGACAAACAAAATTTACAGACACAGAATATAACAGTAATACCAATTACTGTTTTAAGATCATTAAGCTTCTGTTTCACAAACAAACAAAATTGATCAACATTTCATCATCACAAAATTATTATAATTTCAAGTAATTTTTGGTCAACTTTTCCCTATTACTGCCTCCTTTTCATACTTTTAAATAGCATGTAATATCCTGCTATTATATGCTATGAAGAACTGAAGAACAATTCTTCAATCTTGCTGTACTTTTAAAAGGGTAAGCAGTACCAAGAACCTCAAAAAATAATTTAACCTGTCTTATGATCACAAAACAAAAGAATGAAGGTTAAGTTTTTGTTTCATCCATAAGTTTTAAAAATACTAATTAAAAATTTTTATTTTTATTTTTACACAGTTTATTTTTCACATTCAGATTGGAAAGAAAGAGACTTTGCAACTGTACTCATTTCAGTAAACTGACACAGAGTTCCCATGAAGTAACAAAGATACCCTACCTTGATGGACTGACTGTAAGGTCCAATGTTAGCAGGTGCCCAGTGGGAAATACTCTGTACATGCATGACCAGTTTTTCATCATGTAACACATCATCTGCTGCAATGTCATATTTATGTGCAAGGCAGTCAATGCAAAACAGCACTCCAACAGGTAACAGGGTTTCCACACATACTCTGAAAACACAAGACAATTTTTTATTTCAAACAGAGTTTGCTTGTACTAACTTTCAGTATTTATTTTCCATGGGGTTTTTTTGTTTGGATACTATGTAATGAAATTTTGTCAGGAACATAAAGCAAAACCTACTGTATTGCAATAACCTGCTTAGCATTAATATTGTTATTCTCTTTCCAAACAATGACCAACTTCAGACTTTCAGCAAGATAATTTCCATTACCAACAAGAAGTCAGCACCATAATCAATGTCTTATTTCCATTTGATTATTTTTATGATGCGTATTACTTCATTAAAAATATTTAATTTCTTTTATTAAAAAACAAAACAAAACAAAAAACAACTCTCGACCACACAACTCTGGAAATGCCAGATAGGTTACGCTAAGCACCCTTTAGACTGAGTGTATCATTATCATATTCTTACCTCCACACATTTTTCACTGAATACCCTTTCAGTGATTGAATTATAGGTTCAGGCTTCCAGAAAGCATCAGCTTTTTTTTGGTTCCTTTACACCCTTCTCACATCTTATCATGCAATATTGAGAATATTTTTCTGTTATACTTCAGGTTGCATGACAGACACACTTGATAACAGGACTGGAAACCTACTTAAGCATTCATTTTAAAAGTTCATTTTTCTTTGCTTCGAGGTAGACTGAGTGCCTGGATGGACAGACAGTCCGTTGCACGCGGCCAGTGAAAAAGAAGGGGGTGGGGTGAGGGGAATCAACATTTCAAAGCCTAAAAAATAATTATATTTCCAATGCATGCATAAAAAAGCTATTTAGCTCCCAGCAGGAGTCCAACAAAAAATTTACTTGTTCTCTTTACATATCATATAACATAACCTTATAAAATTGTTCGCATCTTGCTTACTTCTTCCAAGAAAACTATTTTTCTCCCCTCCTCCCATATGCAAAGACAGTATTTTCTCCTCATTACCATCATCATAAGCATGGATGAATGGATTTTCTGCTTGGACTGGTAAATTTTCAAGACAATTTTGCAAATTTAGTGCAGATCCACACCCTTTGAGTCAGTGCTTCCAGCATATTGCTTGTGAGAACTCCCACAACTAGGTCTCTGTGCGTAATGCAATGATGCAGCCATGCAAACTGCTGTATAATTTTTCTTCTGGACAAAATGCGACATAAATCTGTTTGTTCCATAAAAATAATCATAAAAAGCCATTTTCCTGCAACTTCCTAATCTTTCTACCTGCTATTTTAATGATGGAAGACTATGTGGCTGGCTATGTAAATGTGGAGGCTTAAAACATGCAGCACCATGAGAAATGAAGGAAGCTAAATTGGGAGTGGCTGAGTCATAAGGAGAGCTTAAGATACATAGGAGTGGAGGTTCATTTTGTGTACTTTACAGCTGGGACTATATCCCTCCTCTGAAGACACACAATTCACACTCCCTCCCTCTGAGATTTCGTAATCCTGGACTACATCAACATCTTGAAGAAGCCTCTTCCTGCTCTCTTTTAGGCTTTTCTGCCACCCAGACTGTGCAGCAGAATGTGATTCTATAATGATGATTATTTTAACAATGGCTTTTAACTATTTGCCATGCTATACTTACACCTACACTACACTTCTTATTCTGTAATAGGAGTATAAAATATAGTATTTTACATTTGAAAATTGCTAAACAGTTGATTTTAAAAATATGAACAAGACATGAGGTCTGACCTCATAGTTGACCCTGCTTTGAGCAGGGGACTGGACTAGATGATCTCCAGAGATCCCTTTCAACTTGTACTAACCTATGATCCAGGTTGAATTTTTTGAACTACAGCAGTTCTGCAAACTGAGCATATTATCTCAGATACTTAAGGACATAAATTACTATAATAAGAAATAAGCTCTCTTGACAAAAGCAATAAAGAATTTACAGATGGAAATTAGTTTTAACTTACAAATTAAAAGAAAAAAAAAACCAAACCAGAACAAAAATTTCATGGGCTAGGTGTTTGTTATCCAGTTTCGAATGGAAAAAATACCCCAACAACACACCCTAATAACACAGGAATCACACGCTGCATATCTAGACTATCAAGCTACTTCATCATGTCAGAGGTTGACTTGGATGCAGCACTGAAGATTCTGTAAAGCAGATATTAAAAAGCTATAATTTGGGGATCTATGAATGTGTCCTGGTTTCAGCTGGGATAGAGTTAATTTCCTTCCTAGTAGCTGGTGCAGTGCTGAGTTTTGGGTTCAGTCTGAGAACAATGCTGATAACACACTAGTGTTTTAGCTGTTGCTAAGTAGCACTTACCCTGGTCAAGGACTTTTGAGTCTTTCATGCTCTGCAAGTGAGGAGGGGCACAAGAAGCTGAGAGGCAGCAGAGACAGGACACCTGACCCAAACTAGCCACAGGGCTATTCCATACCACAGCATGTCATCCTCATTATATAAACTGAGGTGAGTTATCCAGAAGGGACTGATCACTGCTTGGGTCAGGCTGGGTATTGGTGAGCAATTGTATTGTGCATCACTGTTTCCTCCTTTAGTTTTATATCTCTCTATTCACTATTTCCATTATTATTATTATTATCATTATTATTACTGGTGGTGGTATTATATTGTACTTAAGTTATTAAACTGTTCTTATCTCAACCCGACGGTTTTATAATCTTTTGATTCTCCTCCCCATCCTGCATAGGGAGGGGGAAAGGAGAGGGGTGAGCGAGCAGCTGTCTGGTTCCTAGTTATCATCTGGGTCTAAACCATGACAGAATAAGAGTGTTAATATCAGTGTATTCAGAATTCCAAAATAATTCCTTTTCATACTTGCATTCTTACTGAATACATAAGTGTAGCTAAGCTACCTACTACCAATCATAATCTGATGGAAACACAAAACATTAAGAACAACCACACAGGATCAAGCCAAAGATCCATCTAGTCCAGTATGCATCTTCAACCACAGCTACGTGCAGCTAAGCAGGGAAAGAAAAGGAGCAGAGTAAGCATATATTGGTAGTCTTGAAATACAAAACTTGGAGGAATGGCAGGGGTTTCTGTTGCCATCCACATGGATACATGGATCTTGACAGGCTGGAGAAAGCAGCACACAAGTTCAACAAGGAACTCATGAAGTTCAACTCCCTCACCTTGGAAGGCACAAACCCATGGCCCATTATATTCTCAGGGCAAATTGGCTTAAAAGCAGCTTTGCAGAGAAGGACCTGGAGGTTCCTGATCCAAGCTGAACATGAGCCAGCAATGTGCCCTTGCAGCAAAGAGGGCTGATGATATCCTGGGCTGCATTCACATGAGTGTTGCCAGCAGGCAAAGGGAGGCAAATTAACAGCAGCAGGTAAAATCCCACCAATGGAAAAGATTTTTCAGTTCAATCAGAGAGAAGAAATGAGAATTGCGGAAGTCTTCTGTAAGTCCATATATGGGGTGCATTTATAAACCTTATAGTATATCTTAAGGCAAAAATTTCTATCCCTAGTGTTTTTGAGTTGAGCAGCCCTGATGTGATTACTCCAAAAAGGTAGCAAAAGTCTAATTCTAAGTCTGTGAGGCACAAACATTTGGACAAAAGCTTCATAAATATGGTAACAAGAATTCAATATATTACAGTGTATCATAAATATACTATAGCAGTAGTCTAATCCTACCTTGCTGGTGGACACAAATCAAATTCTGTCACATAAACTGAATTTATAACACTGAAATCTTTCATGCTCTTCATATACAGATGAACCAAAATAATATCCTTCGGTTTCAATCCCTCTGAAGTCAAATTAGCTGCAGGATAAAAATAATACAGCTGTTAAACACAGAATATTTTAACTGCGTGTAGAAAGACAGCATAGGCATTCTGCTTTTGTACAGCAAAACTAACTGCTAATAACCTATCAGTTGTCTAAACCTGACTGAAGGCTTTACAAGATACTACCTTTCCCCACGTAATATCTATTTTTTTCATGACATTCTTTGTCACTTTAGTTTTCCAAATATAGAGAAACAGAATACAAATAAATTTTGTCCACCCTGCACAGTGGTGAATTCTTGTCCCAAGAAAACATATCATGCATTAATGCACGTAGATATGCTACAGTCCAAATTCCTTTTATCTGTAACTTTCACCATCTTGTATTTTTTGTTTTCAGTCTACGACAGCTAGTAATCTGTAAAAGACTTTGTATCACAAAAAGTACAGAACTGAAAGGGACAATCAGAGGTCCTTTAGAGCATCACCTTCTTCAAAGAGAAGATAAAATATTTATATCGTATTCCAGAGGGATGCTTGTCTAAGCTGGTTTTAACCCCTCACTGCAATAATAATCTGCATAAACAAAGAGTTACAAACGGCAAGACAGAAAATAGAAAGCAGAGGTGGCCACAGAAGAAATGAAGGAAAGATGAGAGCAGAGGAAAGTTCAAGCACAGCTGAAGAAAAGATACTGGGAAGCCAAGATCATCTGAAGGTGTACGCATAGAAAATGCGTAGGAGAATGTATTACTCTTACACAGCAAATACCATAACAAGATACGCAATTAGCTCTGCAGTTTGGATCTTTTGTAACTCACGAGCAATAGAAACTAAATGAAGACAAAATCTTCTCTGAATATAGAACATATATAATAACAACAGTCTCTCATGTGATCTAACTTAAATGAGCTACGTAAAGCTCCTAGTGTAACTTTGGTGATCTTGTCCTTTAATGTTATATCTATAGATTTGCTTTCCAATGGAGAAGTAGAAGAGTACAAAGACAATCTCTGATGGCTGTTGCCTTAGTGATAAACCAGTACTTCTTGTGTAAAACTTTTCTGTGGTTTTAAAGACAGTTCAGGAGAGGGCACACTTCTACAAAGGTTAATTTGGTCACACCAATACTGAATTTTGCTCTAAACGTCTCAGCTTTACTTCATCATACTGCCATTAGTGTTGGCTATCTGAAGGCGGGGGGTTTCTCATTGACAGAAAAAGAAGTGTGTCCTGAGTGATATAACAGATTATACAGCAATTGTCGTAGAACAAGTCAAGATACATCTCCGGAAATATCAGCTGATAAATTAGCACACAATAATAATTCTGTTCAGAAATATAAATGTATTTTAATGCTGCTTGATAGCAATCACTAGGTCAACACCAGCTATGCCATGAGAAGGGTTTTGACCTGCAGTTAAAGGTTCTGAAGCATTATATGGAATACTGGAGGGGATAAAAACCCCAAACCAAACAAACCCAAACTGACCCCTTTGCCCCCAGCTAGAAATTTAAAATGCATAAGCCAAAAAACTCTCTATCTTGTGGACACTTAACAGTATTAGAGCAAGTAGAAGGCAAAGAGATTTAGATAAATTCATAATTTCTGGTTTTATTTTTAAAAATCTTCTTAAAGTAAAAGTACCCCTTTTGCTATATATGAATTAGAGGAATGATGGGAAATAATTTTTCCCTAGCTTGGAAGCAGAACATAATTGATCCCCCAAAACACTTTATTTAGTAGAAAAGCATAAAAGACGAACCAGCTACTAACCCACCACTTGGGTTCTAGACAGCGAGTTCTGCTTACCAAGGAGAGGACTCCAACACAGCACATCTCCAAGATGTACAGGGAAACTATACAGCCTTTCTGCTATATTTCAAGCCATTCACTGTTCCTAATAATTTATAAAATATAAGGCAAGACTCATCCTTACTTAGGCAGAACTGACTAAAAAGAACTGACCCAAAAGATAACATTAGCTAAAGTGCAGACTCATTTTTCTAAAATGTTTATCCAGGATTCTTAGGCTGAGAGCCACAAAATATAGTATCCAAACTATTTATAGGAAGTAGCATTTTGGACTAAATTTTAATGCAATAAAAATCTATGTAGTTCCCTTCAAGACTATGGAACTTTGTCATGTTACAGCTGCACCAGAGCTGCTGCCTACGTACTGCAATCTTTGTCATCTTCCAATCTCATCTACAGAAAAGTTTAACAAAAGAGTTTAAGAAAATAAATGTGAACAGTCATGTACTGGGTTCCCTTCTGTTCTCCTGCTTCACAGAAGAATTCCATCCACTTTACCTGAACAACCATGTTTCATAACTTCTAGTAATAAATTTCCATTTCTGGATCTTTTTGGCAGCACTTACCCTCTTTAGAGGTGATTAAATCAGTTAACCCACCAAAGAGGTTAAAAGGACCATGCTTATTCCATTCTCACAGCACAGAAGACTGAACTGCTGTATAGGTTATATGAGTTCAGAAAAAGCCTTGTGCACATTTGCAGATCAGTTAAATTCTTAGAAAATTGTTTCTTTTGCCATGACACAATCATAATTCATTCAGTCTTCACACTCCCTTCCAAAAAGAGAAAAATGAAAGGAAATGTGAGAACTGACATTTTCTACCAAGGTTCAGAAAATTATCACTTTTTTTTTACTATAATACAGCTAATGCAAGTAATTTGCTGAAAGCAATAGGCTACTGTACTTGTCAGAGACACAATTTTTTTGACAGATGCTAAGGTAAAAATATATAATATTTGTACTGGCAGACTTCCATTCAAATATGAGAACAAAATAAAAAACCACACAACCCTTTTGCTTCAATTTACAGGTTATGCCCAGAAAATTTACACTAAACACTAATGTCTGTTACTAAAAGTTTGATCACATTCACCTTGCTCACTTCCAATCAATCAAAAACTAGCTTATTGACCTTCTACAAAGTGGAACTTATTTGCTTCTGAAAAAAATACTATGGTTTATTATCCTATATTCAATCATGAATATTCAGTTGCACATGCAAAAAATAAGATCTTACAGGACACTCTCTCACACAAATTCATGAACAAGAGTATGAGGCTACCCATTTATATACTAAAAATTATTTCTATTGTTGGGGAAAGAAGCCTGTATAAATATGTTTTAGTTAAAAGTTAGACTAAAAATCCCCAAAAACCCAAAAATGTGACTATTCTATTTTATATGTCATTATCTTGTAAAAGGAAGATATTAAGGAACATGGATTTCATGATTCCCCAGATAGAGATTTCTCCTTTACATTAAGAATATAAATGAGATTTACTGCTACTGACCTAATCCTAGATGCCAAAATGTACATCAGCTTCCTAGAAAACTTAATTTAGAATTATGGTAGCTACAAAAGTGCTTCAGCAAGTAGGCAGCATCCATAGCACACATGCACACTCATACACAAATTATATTGCAAGAAAGCTTTAAAGCAAGTTATAAAGTGAGTAAGTACTGCGGAAATAGTGTTGCTACAACGATATGAACACTATGGCTTTCTAGGGTCTTCAAAAGCCATTCAAATTATGATGTGTTCAATATTAAAGCTGGCAGTCCTGGTATCAATGATTCCAATCAAACGCAAAATGAGATGGCAAACTGACAACCACAACATTCAAAGTTATAAAACTGTATAACAACACAGATTCTTACTTAATACCATATTGAAAACAGTATAGTTAACAGCAGATAATGCATTAACTGAATAAAGCACCTCGAAGAGAAGAAAATGCTTCTCTTGCTGCCTCTTGAGCATTTCTGCCTTTTGATGGAAGGAAGTGAGCAGTGATACCTGAAAACCACTGGTAACCATTCAGGGATTTTCCTGAACTTCCAAATGTCTTAGCTATGGAAAATGAAGAACACTGATTATAATAATGAAAGATTTTAGATTAACCTAGAATACATTTTAAATTGTTAAAGTAAGAAGAACTTTTACAGGAAAAAAAAACAACAAACAAACAGACAACAAACAAACCATGAAACCAATCAAAAACTGTAAAAACACCTTTAAAAAAAATTACAGACAAACAGATACAAACCAAAAACTTAATAGCAAGTGTGCTGGTAACAAAGCTTCAAAATGCTACTTGGCAAATCTTACTCCACCACTGCCTTCAGAAAATATGCCTGCATGTAATATTTAGCTGAGAATTTCAGTACTTTCTCCCTTACAATTTTTGCTCACCTTTTACAATTTTCCTGCCTGTTTTGATGCAGACTTGGCAGAAGGTGTGACACTGAAAAGCTAAAATTTTTGGAAGTATCTAAATGACACAGGAACAGATTTTCAAACTTAAATGCCAAATTTTAATGGAATTTAGGTGTTTAATCTGGTTCTGATAATTTTAGCAAATGCATAACATGTTTAGACATGTTTCCACCAGTCACTTATCCATATTCAATAGCCTAAATACCATTCAATATCAGTTTTATAGTGTGAAACCCTTTTTCAGAAGTTTACTAATCTTTGGGTGTAAGTTAACAGTGATGCTGTGGTATCTCAACGAGGTACCAATCTGTGAACTTGGGTTTATCTTGCATTAATCACCTCATGTTTGAGGCACTTAGGACAAGCGGTAATATCAGGCATGCAATTAGTTACTGCAGCTCACCTAATACACAGTAATTTGCTAGGCTGCTAAACTCAATCACACATGTCACGCTGAGGTTGCTTGACTGAGGACAGACTATATACACTATAATGAAGTTAAATAGTTGTGTTTTGTACTTAGTTTTATAGTTTGCTTTCCTATCTTCAATTTAAAAATAATAGAGTATGGGTACAGGTGCTCAAATGAATGATTATATAGTAATTATAAATTTCATTCAAGCAAACAAAACACATTAATGTGTGCTTTCTGAAAGACAGAAATAAAAAATTTGGATATGCTCCTTCTGTAACATAATTCAAAATGTATCATTACTACAGATCTATCGATTCCTATCACAAAACCACATTGTAGTAGGATCTCTTTTTTTCAGACTGGTTATTAAAGGTCATGAACACTCTTTTCAGGACTATTCTTAAAATGCACCCCACCACAGCATGAAATATTCAATATTATTTGAATGTTAATGAAAGCTGCGCAAAACTCACTGAAATCCAAAGAATTATGATTCGAAGACCTCCAGATGACTGGAATGTTTTTCTGTGGTTCATCCTCTTCTAATGAAGGGAAAATATCATCATCACTGCAGGTTACCTTACAAGAACAGCTCTTGACCATAAACGTACCTGAAGATTCCCCCTGCTTCAGACAAACATTATAAAATAAGCAAGTAAACAGCATGCCAAGCAGTATGAAATCAGCACATTTTATCGTTCATTCAGATTTTTGCTTGTAGTTATAAAAAATACCATAGCTCAATGGGTACCTAAGCTTAGAATAATTTGCAGAACAGCAGCATTAGGATTTCCCACTATTTAGATAGCAGAAATTTGTAGAATACAATGTGATGCTGCTGACATACCGTATGGAATAAAAATGCAGATGGAGTAGTAAATAAGGATAACAGATATGAAAAACAATGAGACTCAGGGTAAGAAACAGAAAGAATACTATGATGAAGAAACCCTATTCCACAATTATATACAGGACAACTATGTTTCCTAAATTAAGTGAAAAAAAAAACCAAAAGTGCAAAATTTGATAACTAACACTGTTACTAAATACTTGAAACAGCAAAAGACTAACAAGAAAGTTTTAAAACTTTGTGGAACACAATGAATGCAGTCTTTCTCACAAAGACTATCCCTTTCATCCCTTTCATCAAACTCAACATGGTTAGGGATGCTTAAGAGTTTTGAGATACAGAAAAGAGAATTTCCCAAGATTTATACATCAAAATAATTTTTTAACAAGGAAGGAAAATAATTCACTGTACCTTCTCTTCTTCCCAAATACTTTCTTAGGCCTAGGAAGAGAAAACTACCCAACACACTTTTTAAAGCAAAATACACAGGCAGAGTGTGTACTGACCAGTTTTCCAAAATTTCATGTGGATTATATTTTCAGCAAGTCACATAATTACAACATACATACATTTTTTTTTATATTTTAGAGCAATCAGAACCCCTACTCTCTTCCATCTGATTTTCCCAGGCAGCCTAATCTGCAGAGCGTGTTGACTGTGGGATCACCAGCTTGTCTGATACTACTTGTCTTCATCTAAAACTAGTAAGAATTATCACAGAATTTATCCATAAACCTTAACCAAACATCATTGCATGCTACAATTCCAGATTCTATCAATTAATCTTCTGCTCAAAAGGTCTCAAATTTCATATAGTGTCTAAAGTCTGCATTTTACTGCCAGCTAAATTCACAAAAATTAATGATAAAGCCAAATAAAGCAAGATAAAAAGCTGACAAAATATGAAGGCTTTGGCAATTCTTAAATATGGATTAGAGACTGCTTAATATTCTTCTAATGTACTATTTATAGTACACTATAAAATTAGTGTGCTATCTATAAAATTTCCACGTAAAATGTCTATGAAAAAGTTTTCTCTTGATATTAAGCCAAAAAAAAAAAAAAAAAGCGAGGAAAAAAAGGCAGAAAACTATAGTACACATGAGACGTCTGCAATGAGATTCAGCACTTACATCGATATTTGACTTCACTTGAAAGAAAAAGGATCCAGTTAAGTTAAAGCAGTGTATTTTGAAATTCTCAGGAAAAGCTAAATTACAAAAAGGTCATTACCTATGAGAGGCAACTCAGCTCTGGTGCCTCTTAAAGGGTTCATGGGAAGTTTTAAAAGCACTGTAAACACTAAAGCTATGTTCTAAGAAGGGCTGATGTTCTTTGATTGGACCTCATTTTATTCATTCCTCCAAGAAAGGCATGAAAGTCAAGGTAATAATCTACTTCATGTGAACCAACTGTACGTGAGAAGTTAAAAGAAGTCAACTAAATGTAACATAATCGCACAAAGATGAAAACTGCAAGTTAGCACAAACATGACATGCATTTCAACATTACAATATGCAAGCATCCAACAGCATCTATACCACCTTCCACTCATTGAATTACACCTTCAACTACCACTGTCAGTTGATACATTTTGCTGTTACCCTGAGGGCTGCCTGATGGCCCCTAACCCTTCAGGTATGACTTAGAAAATAAAGGAGCAGGAACACATATCTAATTGACAGAGAGCTAGATTATACTACGAGAACCAAGAAATGAAAGAAAAAAGAAAATGAAGTTTCTATTTTAGGTTTTATCCATGAGCCCTCACTTTATAGAAATATAAAGACTGTATAGAAGCATGAAGTGCTACCTTTTCCTTCTTGCAAATTGTTGTTTTACTGAGTTACTTGCTTTCACTGAGTAATCTGTAATGAAACAATCAATTTACATTGTAGCACAGGCATTCCCTGAGTACTTATGTGACACAGAGTTTGCACGTTTTGGTCCTACCCCCTGAGTAAGCATGCACTGACACAGTGCTATGAATGATACTATCACATGCTGCGTTGGGTTTTGCTTTCACATCACCTGGATTTTAACTTCAATATGGTACAACAATCCATCACTAAACAAAAAATGCTAACTGGAAATGGAACAGTTCCAGCCTGCCAGTGTCACAGCCACTTTGTTTCTTGCTTAAGCTTTACATAATTACCTTTCAAGAGCTGTGGAGCTACAGATATCTTACCTAGGTACTATTAGAGACCTGTAACTTCTCTCCATTCTATAACCCTGAGGACTGAATTTATACGCTCTGCAAGTGAACACGAAAAGAGCACCTATTCCATTTTTACACCATCTGTGAGAATTGTTCTTTCAACTATTTTTCTAAAAGTGCTTTCTGCAAAATGTGCTTCCTAAAAAAAAAATAACGGGGATGTGGTGAGATACACAGACTGCATCACAACTGGTTTGGTGTAGCCTACAGAACTCCCTGTAGCTTTGCAATTTGTTAATACTACAAATATCCAAAATTGATGATGTGTGAAATTTTCCTGTCATTGACAGTCACATCCCTTTTTCCTAGACAAGTCAATATTTCATAAATTGTTAAGCTTATATTAATATTGCTTCACAGATGTAAATAAAATTAAACATCTGTGTTTCCACACATAGATAAAGAAGCTGGTCAGCTGCAAAATTTTTGGAAATTACTAAGAAATACTAGAAATCCTACAATGTGACTTACATATATTAAAGACCGCAAAAGTAATTATAGACTACTGTTGATTTGAATGCCTATGATACATCACAATGATTCATTCAAGGCTGATTCCCACAATGCTCCATAAACATAGGTAATCAATCATTTTCCACAGCAGCACAGGTGCAGGCTACAGCAGAAGTATTAGGTGTGGAACCTGGCACTAGATGAACAACAGGCTCAATGCCAGCCTAAGTAGAGCTGCCAGACTCTGTTTAGTAGTTATATTCGAATCTCATACAAATGTTGGTCTTCCATTCCTATTGACAGAGAAAGCAATCTAAGAACTTAAAAGTTATAGACTGCCACAAACAGAGTAACTTTCCCTGTATAATATTCTTATCACTCTAAGAACAAAACAAAACAAAAAAACCAAACAAAAAAGACCCAAACAAAAACAAAAAAAAAAATCAACCTTGCTATAATGGCATTTTAATTAAATCCTACAGAACCTATTTTATCACATAACATTTTCATGTAACTTCACAGAAGCAATATATTTTCCCATTTGTTCCACTGTTTCTCCCACACCCACTGTACATTGTGATACCAACCTAATTTTGGATCAGAGCCTGCATGCATGCATATGCTTAACTATATTCACATAACTCATGTCACTGATGCACGTGCACCCAGAATGAAGTTAAGCAAATGCATGAGTGTTCCAAGATCCAAATTCTCCTGTTGAAAAAGCCTTGGAGCTAGGACTTTGACTGATATAGCTGAAATTCCATGCAGTGGTCTTTTATGAAAACAACAGATTGCCTTCTTAAAAAGCTTACATTCTCCACTACAGAAACTGGTATAAAAACCTATCACAACACAATTGTAAAACTGATAGTTATACCACTGAGCAGCAGTGAGAATACAGTGGGGCAGAGAGCTCAGAAGACATAAGGAGAGACTATGATAATCCCTTTATTCTTTGTGGTGTACCTTGATAACAGAACTCCTTGAAATAAATACAATGAGATCACATGTCCTTGCAGTATTTCAAGTACAACACACAGACTCATAAGAAAGTCAGTCCTTTACTCTGAGAGACTTTCAAATAGAGTCTCCTCATTGTGAAAAGAGAACAAAAAAAATATCAGAGAACTGGACTGAATCTGCAGTCAAATGGAACAGGAAAGAAAATCTTTTATTTACTATCTTAGTGTCTGAAACAAATCAGTGTATAAAAAATGCAGTACTTGTTACTAAGTTTTGGAAACATAACTACAAGGTTTATCTATATTCTTATGATGTGGAAAAGAAACCAAAGGTTACCTAGGGGAAGTATCAATGATGACAAAGTATTCAAAAAATGCCACCCACAAAACATATTTTGCAACTCGAAATTCTTTCCTGTTCCCCCTGACATGACTTACAATGTTTAATTCTACAGCTAAAGTTCTAAATGGAGATTAATTAAAGTAACTCAGGCCAGAAGGAACTGGACAGAAAGAGGCTACAAAATTAAATCAAGCCTAACCTGCTGGATTATTCTCCTTTAGTACACAAGGAATGTAAAAATCTCCCAAAGACCTTTTCTAACTTTTACAAGTGTTTTTAAAATCATCTCTAAATTGACCTGTGAAATAGATTTGTTGATGTTTAACAGGGGCATAACTGCTGCACTTCTGAAATGTGTTCCACCCACATAGGTCAAGATTTTTTACAAACAGGAAGACAAATAAGCCTTACAATATCAACATATGATAGGTAAATATAATGCAATAGTATGCTACAAGAAAGAGCAGCAGTTAAGGACACGATTCCCATCTCTTAAAGGCAAACAAGCTCCATTCTTTTACAAAGTGTAGAAAGAAAATTACACAATTCCCTCTAATTCTGGACTATCCCTAACTCTCTGCACATAAGCAGAGGTTCCCATGGCTTTAATTTCTGCTTCAGATGATTCAAATGCCAACACAACAGAGTAACAGAAGAGCATAATATGGGAAAAAATAAAACTATTTTGCAAGGTTGTTGTGCTGTCAGAATAATAAAAAAAATGTTTCATAGTTGTATTTTATTCTATATTCAAAATTAATTTTGTATTGAATAAAAAAGGTGATACTTGTTTTAAAGATTCTGAAGCATGCTTCAGAAATTTCTTCACCCTCAACAAAAAACATTCTACATTTTAAATGTACAAAGTGGCAGTCTTACTGTCAAAGTAAAATATTGATGAAGCTAGGTATCCATATTATGTATATTAGACTGGTGACCTTGTTCTTTTACCAGGAAGTAAATGAGGCATTCCCGAATTTTGAGCGTGTGCTTTCTTAGCATTATTGTTTATACTTTTTTTTTTTGTAAAATAGCTACAAAAAAGTTATCCTAACCTGTGTTTACCAAACTTTTAATAATGTTTTAATAACGTAATATTATATTTATCACTTTAGCCTTTTCTGTGTCACTGGGTGTTTTAAGGAAAAAAAAAAGCTTCAATTATTATGCAAAAACACATCTTGAAGTTCCACAGTAACGTATTAAATCAGAACACTGAGTAAAATGTTATTTTCCCCCAGGCACAAGGATTCGTTTTGCTGCCAGAAACAATTTGAAACAAAATTCTACGCAGGCTTTGTAGTTAAACATGAGGAGGTTTAGCTGAAGAAAATGCATTATAGAGGAGGAAAACTAGCAGACACTAAGGTACAGTAGCTATAATTGCATAACGATTATAATAGTAAATTCAAAATCATAAAATTAACACCTGTGGCACATAACAAAGAATGAATATACAAACAAAGTTAAAAATATGCATGTATCAGTTGAAATGATAACAAAACTGATGTCATAATACTTATTAGAATTACACATCACTGTGCAGTCTATTAATGGTTTCTACAATGTGCTTACACAATTGGCTACTTTTGCACATTTTTCATAATGGAGGTTTTTTTGCCTAGTTTTCAGTAATCCCTTGAAAGCCTGAAACTAAAGTTAGTTCTTCTAAAGCAGTGTTTCCCTGAAGTAATTCATTATTGTAGGACTGGCTTTTAAGCACTGAACTACTGGCTGATCCTTCTTCTTTTTGTAGGGCTTGTAAGCAACAAATAGTGAGAAAAAGTACAGTACCACAGGCATCTCAATCTTTGTTGTTACGCAGTTAAACCATGCCAACTTTGTAAGAAGTTATGCTCTGAAAGACTGACTGGTTCTCCATATTCATAATTTCTTTAAAACTCAGCTTATTTTAATGTGACATAAAATAATCTATAGCCAAAAGATTCTAATACTTTTCCTTATGAGACAACCACTGCAGAAAACAGGCTATTTTCCTTTTAACTATACAAGACGTTAGTTTATATACCAAAATCCAGGGCAAGGCACTATAAACCTTACCCCTCTGAGAGTGTGACAGCTTTGTCTACAATGAATTTGAAATATGATTTACTGCAACACTATTTGAAACTGTGAGGCTTTAACCAAATCTAAAACATCTACATAAGAAGGGGAAAAGTGCTTCTGAACAGATAAAAGTAAAATCCTGATTCTTATATAAAATTTTATGCATTTTAATATGATTTTTTTCCTGATTTATGTAAAGCTTTGTATTTTTCATTTTCCCTAGCCTGTCACATTGTAGTGATGTATGGTACATTTTAGCATCAAGTTTGCCATGAGCAATAAAGTCAGTGCTCCCAAAGAAATATTAATATATTATCACTCTTCCCTATCATGCCCTGCTCCAAAATTTTCCTTTATTCAACCTATTTGGTTTTGCTTCACATAGTTAGTTGATATCCTTTTCACAGTCTCCCACACAAATATTTAATGTTTTATTTTTGAAAGAAATCCCAAACTAGAAATTGACAGGATGAAATACAATTTACTTTCTAGGGCAAGAATGAGGCCATCATAGAAGAAAAGTGTACAGATATTTTATCTGTTTGGAACAATAAAATTAAAAATAGAGGCGGGGGGGAAAAAGGCATGATCTATTGAAAGACATCCACGAAATGTAGTCACTCAAGAGACGTGAAATGAAAAATACCAATATAATAACATTCTCTAACAATCCCTACACCTAGAAGAGGTTCAGTGATCTTCAATGTAGAAAGAAGTAGGGAGATCTATAAATAGATGACTGCAACAGTAGTAGGAAAATCATGAGATGTTCAGGAAGAAAAAAAAAAATCATTGCACCCATAAAACGTTGAAAACAAAATAGAAAAGTGATGACAAATACTCAGCAAAATAGCTTCTGTTTTGACCTTCTTATCTCACATACAGGTCTGCAGTATTTAAACCACTAGACTTCCTATCCCTATTCTGCTGTTTCTATGGAACCATAAGGTAAGAGTATCAATTCCAGCAAACAACTAACAATTCCTTTAGGATCTTTGACAAGGATAATCTTCTCTACATGATTTGAAGTCATTCATTAGATGTATCTCTCATATGGAAAAGACAAAACCCAGTACATTTAAAACTTGAGCACTTGTGGGTCAACGATATTTTAAATCGTTCACTGTACATAAGAAACAGCAAAAAAAGATGCCACCTCCCAGCAAATCAACACTGTTCATACAGTTTTCTAAAACAGCTGTGTTCCACAGTGTGCTTAGCTGTATTACACAGGGTACACATGTGCTTGACTGAACCACATTGGCTGAGCTCCTTGAGGTTTCAAGATGAAAAATGCTACACATATACTACCTCCATTCATTCATTTGGCACAAGGAAGTATTTGTGTTTTTTCCTTATTCTAAGTTCTGAAATTCAACTAAATATGTACATTGTTATATGAAAGTACACCCACATAAGAACATGTATGTTCCCTCCAAACTGTGACAAAGCAACATAAAAGTAGAACGCATGCATATAGATTTACAGGAAGATGACATTTGCAATCTACTTGCCTTATTCTCCAGGTGTAATTTTAAAAAACGAAGGTAGGCCACAGGTGCAAATGCATCAGCCGAATGCACAACCACCTCAGCTGAATCTCTGGAAAGCAAAATTCTTAGCATCAAATATTAGTACATAAATTCACATATAGACAATTCTTAGTCAATGTATAACACAGATTCCAAGGTAACTCATTGACCATCTATTAATTTTTTATTTAATTATTAAACAGATTTTGTATGAAACAAATTAAGAAAAAAGAAGTTTGCTATATAAAATTGTATTGTTGCACAACACTATCTTCACTAATTTCCAATTTTCAAAAGGACTATATTATACTTCCTGTGTGGGCCAGAACAGGCAGGAGGCAGGAACATCCACAAAACCACAGATGAAATACAAACAGTAAATTCGTTTTTTTACCTCACCAACTTTGGGGGACCCCCAAAGCAGCACCAGGGCAGAGGCACACAAGCGGGGACACAAGCACACTGCAGAGCTCAGTCCATGCTAGAGAATCACAGAACCTGCTGGTTTTGCCTGTGTTTAGGGATTTGCACAGGGATAATTTACCACTGTGCTTTGATATTTCCCATAGCAGTGCAGGAATCTCAAGCATGTTCAATCGGGTGCCTCTAACTCTGTCACACGCCTGCCTTACCGAAACACAGATGTTCTACTTGTCCAACACACAAGGCTGAACAACAATTAGTATGATACATGTTTTTGACACCCTAGCTGCAAGTCACTTGAGCGTGTTTAAAATCCTCCTTGCCAATCCCACACTTCCAGACTAGTACTGAGAGATTCAGCTAGCTGCAGTCTATCAAAGCATAAATAACATGTTTTACAATCTAGAGACTAATATGTAAAGCAATCTTTTAATTTCATCAACAGGAGATTTTTTTTCTTTTTAGAAGTCTATTCTCTTGATTAATGCTCCAGGGATAAGTTCTTGATATATTAACAACATATAATATTTAACGACGAGAAACTGACTTAACCATCTTGCATCTGATACTGAAGATTACTAGACGCAACTTTTTAATGCCAAATGTGTTGGTTACAACAGCAAACTTCCTGTGTGCTGATTCAAATTGGTTAACTTTAGTTTTCATTTTTACAGGTACAATCTGTCACACTGATTCACAAGAGGCAGTATCTGTTATATCCATCTGCATAGTTTTACTACTTAGGGAAAAGGTAGCGCTAGGAAACAAATATCAGACAGTGAGAAACTCAAAGAAAACATAACAGAAACTCAGACGCAGTAAAATAAAATCTGAAAGTTGTTATAGGTAAGGCTAGGGACACACAGATAATTTTCTTGAAAACACAGTGCCCTTGACACCTTCACAATATTCAGTGAGATGATACAGATAGATTTCTAGTAATGCCACACAAAACCCACGCAAACTGAAAACAGTTTAAGTCTTTGCGAGGTTCCACTGACTTTGTGAAAGTGTAAAATTAATGGAAATATCTGTTCTATGAAATGTGGGTTTTTGTGATTTAAAATAACAAAGCTCCTAAGATAATCATCATCATCACTACATTGCACATACCTTTAACATAAACAGCTTTACTCCATTTCAGTTTACTTCCATTTCAGTAAACTTCTAAAGTATTTTGATAAATAAGCCTTCAGCTTCATTCTTGAAAGTTATCAAGATTCTTTAGGATTATAATATCACTTATTCCTTTAAGATATCATGAAGATAGTCTTCAAGATTAAAATAATTCTTTTCAAATGACCATGGCATCTTCTAATTCTAACAGAAATAGGTAGAAAATAACTTTGGATATCTTTAGTTACAGGAATGCATAATTAGAAATAATAAAAAGTAGACACCAAGACTCCCATAGCACCTGGTACCTGGATATCCTCAGTATCTGAGGATATTCTTCATAAACATTTCTTGCTTGTTGTTCAAGACCTATATTGGGAAGTCTGGTACTTTTCAGTGATGTATGAGCTACACAAAACTAGATTAACAAAAAAGCTCACATCAGAAAGGAAAAGCAAAAAATTAGGGTTATTAAACATATGTGCCTGTGAAATCTAAAGAATACCTAGTAACCTTGAAAAATATATTTAACTCCAAATTAAAAGAAGCAGTTCTATTTGTTCTCCTGCATATTCCCAGTACAGCAGAACAGATGCTAAGCATTGATACCTATGCTGTTCAATAACTCTAGAATTTTTGAGTATTTATTTGTTGCTAAAGAAGTACTGCAAATATTAAGAGATCATAAATATTTTTTCTCGGTATGAAGTACATTCCTATGACGTACAGCTAACATGTATTTGATGGGACTATCATAGATAATCTAGTTTAATATGTCAATAATTCTCAGCTGATGGGTCATAATAGGTAGATTATTTGGTGCTGAAAATAGTATTACAACACATATAAAAAGAAAATATTTTTTTCTAAGTACTACATTTTCTATCAGCCTCTCCAAACACACGTCGCTATTCTAACAAAAAATAATCATCATATCATAATCATCACATCTCTCAAGTCTCCTTGAAAATCTAGGAAATATCTCGTAATTTTAAAACACTGTAACATTTTCACAAGACAAAGATGGTAAGTTAGATGAAGTCTGAGAATACAGTCAGTGTTCTCAGTACATGATTATTTTTTCATGTTTACAGATTTGCTTTTAATTCCAAACTTAGAATTATAAACAGAGCTAATGGTAAGGTATATGAATGTAAAATTATACTTCTCAAATATTTGAAATATGCCAATTTACCTGAAAATAAAAATTGAACCATTCTGTGTTTCATAAATACAAATAGGCCTTTATAATGAGTAAATATTAGATGGCATTCACATAGATAAGAAATATATATTTTTTATTTGAACAGGTGTCAATCAATTGCATTTTAAATACCAGTGTAAGAAGGATTTGGTACCTCTTGTTATCTCTCCAATACTAAGCATAAGAAAGCTGACAACTGGATTACAATACTCTACCTGGGAAAATCAGATAAAAACCAGCTCACTCTTGCTTGAATACTTCAATTCTAAGATCTTGCTGTCACTGCTAGATCTTGTTTGTTTTCAAATATTTCACTTAATCTGCCATGCTTCCTTTGTGAGGCATATTTTTTAATGAAGATTAAGAAGGATGGCAATAATTCAATTTAATATTCTACAGCAAAAGTCATCATATAGTCTTACATTAATGAGACTCTCACTTCTCTACAGTAACACATCACGACTATATTTTTCTTTTACTGAACTAGCAGGTTTCCCCATACTGGAACAGGCTCCTGGCAAGAACTACAGCCACTGGAGAGGAGACCATGCATGAGCAAGTTCCCTGACAGGAAACCAGGCTGCTCCATGGGCAACCCAGGCTGGAGCAGTCTGCTCCTGGAGGACTGTACCCCATGCGAAAGACCCACATTGTAGCAGTTCATGAAGGACTGTAGCCCATGAAACAGACCCAGGCTGGAGCAGGGAAAAAGCATGAAGAGAAGGGAGCAGCAGAGACACAGTGTTATGAACTGACCACAACCCCTATTGTCTCCCCTGCTCAGTGGGGAGGATGTAGAAGATTCAGGAACAAAGAGTAAAGTTAGACCTGGGAAGAATGAGGTGGGGAGAGAGGTAGTTTTAGTTTTGTTTTGGTTCTAACTATCAAACTCTTTTTTTTAATTGGCAGTAAATTAATTTTCCCCAAGTTGAGTCTGGTTTTCCAGTAATTAGTAAGCCATCACCCTGTTCTTACCTTGACCTACAAGATTTTTCACCTTATTTTCTCCCCCTATCTTTCTGAGGAAAGGAAGTGATAGCAGCTTGGTGGGCACCTGGCTGCCAGCCAAGGTTAATCCATCACACCTGTTTTGGTGGCAAAAGTAATCTTCGATTTCTTCTTCAGAAACTTTATCTATGAAGATGTCTTGAAGGAGTTCAGAAATTTAAGGACCTTGAAAATCCTGACAGGTTTTAACCTCTGAACTGTAATTCTTAGAAATCCATTTAAGCTTCAAAAATTGTACGAGGATGTATACCAGAACTATGGCTATCTAAACATTTAGAAACTGTGCTAGTATAGTTAACATGATTATAATGTCTGTTTTGATTCTGTGCATATAAGAAGCGAGAATGAAGAGTAGAAAATAAAAGCTTGTAACATATGAAAAAAATTACAAAATACTTTCCTTTAGAAATTCATAAACTAATAGATTTCACATGAATGGCTCCTCAAAAGATATGTCTTTATGACATGAATATTTTAAGAGCTAAGCAGGACTACTCAAGCCAGAGACATACAATACCAGCGTACCTATTCAATTTCCATTACTGAAATGTATATTTAGAACTAGTTGAGTAACTGTTTAACAGTCTGCTGTGCCATTTATTTATTATTAAATACACACTGATGTATATATTTGTCTTTTCCTGTATTTTTGGTGAATTTATCTTTAATTATTTGGAGTGTCACCAGTAGAAATAAAGACAGCTCAGCCAGACCATCTCTGTTTTAGCTTTTCCTAGTTGCTTGAATGGTCATTAAATCACTGATAGCCAGAAATACATTTAGCAGATATTATAAGATATTCCTACCTAAACTGGTATTTGGTTGATCCCAAACAAAGAGCACAAGGTTCTTTTTCTAAAAAAAGTACCTCCTCAAATTCTATGCAACAAAAAACTAACCAACCAAAACAATAATATCTCTCTACACTACACCAACCAAGAATTTCTAATGACATGTTGTATCTATGCAAAGAGAGCTTTGAAAAAGAGCATAGGGAAATTATGCAACCAATTACAATAAACTCCCAGATTTAATTTGTAACATAAGAAGCCTCAAAATAAATAGGAAGAATGTAAATAATTTGCCAAACACAAGTGCAAAAACTGATACAAGCATATTTAGTCTGTCAGTTAAAATCTAGCGATCTTTCTGAAGTATACTTTTTGTTGCGCATGTTGCAATATAAATGCTGAATAGGCCACATGGCTGGCAATGGGTAGTATTACTCTAATGACATATTTTCACAAAATTCCTACTGGAATTGATAACAATTTGTCAGTTCAATAGAAATCATATCAGGCTTTAAATGTAAAACTGAATCGTGCTCTAGCAATGATTTCACAGTATTTTCTTTTGTGCTAGAAGAGACTGAAGTGATGATATCTGGGGGCCTATTAGGAAGTTTTGTCCTTCATCCCCAGGTCTACTTGTGATAAGATGCACCCAAGCATCATAGAGGTTTTATTCTAACTTCCTGCTTAACTCTCCAACTCCTACTATTCAGCAGGTTGGCTCAAAACCTATGGCTTTTACCTAGCATCTAGTTCTCCTCAGAGAATCTTCAAGATTCTCATTATTTGGCACATAAAGTCATAATTCCACCCATGAACTTAGAGTTTAAAGATTCTACACTGTTACTTTCCAAATTTTCTTCTTACTGAAGAATTTCATAGCTTTCCTGCAGGGAGGTATCTCTAGACTCAAGTTATCTAGTTTTTTGGTTTACTTCAGAAGACAAATCTTCCAGTCAACCAGTAGTTCAGAAGACATCTGCCAGAGTAGCTGCCATCCATTTTACCAGTTTGTCTATTGCTCTTCTTCTCTCAAACGCATGCAATGAAACGGAGTTAACAGCTCTTGGTTCTCTGTTCCTTATAGAGACAGATCCCAGTCTTGCAGAAAAATTAAACAAAAGACCTTCACCATGAAAGCCTTAATCATGTCTATATGCCCCATAATCTTGACCTTCCCTAAAATAGTTGATTATCACCAACTCATGATTACTAGTCTGTTTACCAGGCTAAGAAAAGGAACAGCAGTCAAAACATCTCACTCAAACCAAACAGGCATACCTATTTAAAAAACTAGAGTCTGTTTGCATCAAGACACAAATATTTTCCATATCCCACTACACAGACTTTAGCAATTTATGTCAAAGGAATAAACTCCTCAGTGTAAACAAGATGGATTCATGCAAAGTTTGTATTTAAAATATCCCCTAATAATTGCAGAAAAAAGTTTATCGTTATCATTCTAAGCTGCTAAATTTAAAACACACACACAGAGTTAATAGAACCCACAGGCTACTGATGTGGCATTTTATCAAATGTAGCGGTAATGAAAGATAAATACTACAGGCAATTCGCACTTCGTGAAGGGATAGAAGCATCAGTGTGTAGGCACCAGTTTTACTGCAGGCCGTAACCAGCAAGTAAACGAAAGTGCAAATGTCTAAAAAGTTTATAGCCCTCTATGAAGGCCTCGTCTTGTCAGGTATTGATTTAGGTTTTCAGAGGACTTTGCCAGTGTTAAACAAAGTGAGTGTTTGTGAACTTGGAGGACATGTTTTACCTCTGCCAACAAAAGTTGCCTCAAGCTAAATGTGAATATGTTCCCACTGCTTTAATATAAGGAATTGGAATAAACCGTTCCTTACACAACTATTTTCTTCTTAAATAGAGGGCAGTCCAGAGTGAATGTTTCATATTCTCCACCTTCTCCGCAAACATGGACTCCGTATTTCTCAGAAAGCTAACAAAAAAGGGAAAATTAAAATACATAAGTATTACATTAAAGCAGTCTATTAAATATATTCTGTCAAAAATGTCAGCGTAGACTTTAAAAGTCTACCCATTACAAGGTTGAAAAAACCCAAAATATCAGAGGGTTATTGATTTCTTCATATTTGTATTATAATGGTCTAAAAATTACCAGTGTTCTATTTTAAGTAGAACTGCCATTGTAACATTCAGATAAATGAATGAATTCCTAGTTCTTCCTCCTCAGTGGCCATGACAGGCTCCTCAGATTCCTCTATTTGTCTATCTTTCTTTCGCATAGATAGTTCATTTCTGTGAGAAGCTTACACTGTAAACCATCACAAGAAGTAGCACTTCACATAGCAGCATACAACGAACATGATTTCTGGCAACAGATTCAACAATTGTATTCTATATTTTGTTAAAAATCCATTCTTAAAAAAAAAAAAAAGTAAAAAAAAAAGAGAACAAGAGTTTTATAAGCCAAAGCAAACAGATAAAGCAAGATCTACAGAGGTAGTAACATGCCGTTTCCTTTATAAATTGTACTGAATATACTTTCTAAGACAACATATACATTTACTAATATTCCTGAAGCTCTGGATATTCTGCTAACACACATAATAACATAAGTCAATACATTCAAAATGAGAGGTGTGACTATGCCCTGTTTTATAAATGGGCAGGGACCTGTGGAGGAGGAATCAAAGTTCTTTTGCTGGACTTAAGGAGCACACAATTGCCAAACAGTTCACTGTAATTCCATATTATTGTATTGTACTGGTAGATAGTAATCAAGCACCTATAGCATGCTTGAGCATAGAATCATAGAATAGTTAGGGTTGGAATGGGGACACCTTCCCTTTTTCTGCAACATAAATTCATCTCATCAGCAGATTATATCACCTTCTGAAGTGCCCCAGAACCAGCTGCTTCAAGCCAAGTCCTGTCCATGTTTTTTCTCATTAAGTAAGCATTAACATTCTGCTTCAGGAAGTTCACAAGACGCTGAACTGCAGTCCTTAGCTCCACTTCAAACACCAGTGTTACTACTGTGAATATTTATTAAATCCCCTTATGCTTTCCCTTAGAGGAAGAGATGACCACTTGTGGTGCTTCTGCAGTCAAAAGCAGCAATGCATTTCTCCACAACATGTAGGAGATGGTTAGAAAAAGTCCATCTGTGGGCTAGAAAATAATTCCAAATCTGTTGTTTCTGTATTTTTAGGCAAGCATTCAACTGGGATATTTATATGCTGTAGATTCAATCTATTATATGGTTACCAGCATATTCGTGTAGCAAGTCTATCTGACTTCAAATGATATTGTATTTTTATTGTTGAAGCTGAATGTATAGTTCGTGTTACTTTAAAGATCACTTTAAAAGTTTTTTATTTTACAACTTCAAAGTGTTTACTTTTAATAAAATGCTTACTAAAAAATTACAGTCCTGACATAAAAGAGAACTTCATCTGTCAACAGTGGCAAAAAGGTTTCTATAGGACAAACACATCAAGAATAATTAATGTTGATGCAACAAGAATAGACAACCTACAAAACAGGTAGTCAAAATCTTTTCTGCTTCCTCTTGCAGCTTCTGCTGCAAAACAAAACAAAACACCCCCCCCCCAAAAAAAAAAAACAACAACAAACCAGCAAAAAAACCCAACCAAAACTATAAAAAAACCCACCAGTAAAGATCTTCCTAACTGTAACCTCACTACTTCACAGTGAATACAAGGAGTGACTGTTTACAAGTCACTTTCAAAACTGGTAGGTCTGCTTGTAAATATCAGAGCCTAGAGTAATTATTAGCAATTAACATTGAATACCCAAAAGATGTGGGACTGTTTCCTATCTTTCTTGTAGGAAAACCTCATTTTCAATGTAACTGGTTTCAAGATCATTCTTGACACCAATTATACAAGGTGCTAATGGATTTTCAGTTCCCACTAATGTCAACAGGAACAGAGGATATTCAGCAGCTCAGAGAATAGATTCTTAACAGTCACTTAAGTCAGCAATATTTTAAAATTTCATCAATGATATCAGAATTTTGCCTTTTAGAATTTAGAATATTAACATTTCTTGAAGAGCAATTAGTTTGTTTTGCAAGTTGGATGCTATATTCATAACAATACAAGAGCTTAAACTCTAATTTAAATTTTACAATTGCTAAATCTGCCTTCTAGTTTAGATGAGCCAGAAAACAGTATATTCACAAACTAAACTTAACTAAAAATGTAAGTCAAATTCAAAATCCAAAAGAAACAAGATGTATCTTCTAGACTACACAAAATTAAACTTAACTCAAATACACAATGAGACACAAGGTACCCAGATGATCAACCCAAACATTACCTGAAGAACAGCCTCTTCCAAAGGGAATGAAATACAAGGATTAAAGCTGACTTTGTCATTTAAGCTTAGTAATCAAAGATAAAAGATATGAATTCAATTGCTTCCTACTGCAAGTGAAGACCTTTGTTTCCAGAGAGCAATTGTAACACTTAGTAAATTATCTATAATTAGAGGAACACTCTTTACATAAAGTACTTATCAACTTCAAAGGCAAGCATACAAATGACTAAACGTTTTCTTATTGTCTATTAGCGGAGACAGAAGTACAGACAAATACAGAATCATAGAATGGTTAGGGTTGGAAAGGACATTAGGATCATCTAGTTCCAACCCCCCTGCCATTGGCAGGGACGCCTCACCCTAGACCATGTTGCCCAAGGCTCTGTCCAGCCTGGCCTTGAACACTGCCAGAGATGAAGCATTTACGACTTCTTTGGCCAACCTGTTCTAGTGCCTCACCACCCTCACAGTAAAGAGCGTCTTCCGTATATTATAACCACAATATGCATTTGCCACTCTATAAATAAATTTTCAGGAGAGTAGGAGCAGCCCCCGAGATTTGGTAAATTGCCAACGATATTTTTGGTGTAAAAAGTGGAGCTCCAGGCATGTAAGAAACAGGGGGACATGAGAGCAATTTTAGTTTAGCAATTATGTAGCAACCGTTCATCAATAATTTATTAGAGACCTATTATTTAGAAAAAAAGCAGCAATTTAAGAAACTTCCTTGTCACAATGCCAACGCCCTCAGCCAGTAAAATTAATTCCTGAAAAATGTATGGGTTGCAGATCATCACTGTACTCTTAAGTTCAACCTTCTGTATGTAAAGTCATATAAAAATTGAAAACTAAATCAAAGTTTTTCCCACTCAATACTCCTCCATCATTTTTGCTGCTACAGCAGCAAAACTACCTCCCCTTTATATTAGTAACTATTATTTCTATTGTACAGAAACTGAAGTAAATCAGAAGACTGTAAATATATTTTTCCAAAGTTAAATAATTCAGTGGATGAAATCAATGTTTATTTGTGGGTTGGTTTGGGTTTGTTGGGGTTCTTTTTGGTCTTCTTTATTTTTGGTTGGTTGGTTTGTTTTGGGGTTGTTTTTTGGGTTGTTTTTTTTTTTTGTTTGTTTGGTTTGGTTTTTTTCCTCTTAACATTGACATGCCTCTTGTAATGCCTTGACAAGAGATTTTTTTCTAAAAAGAAAGTTGTTACTTTATGCTTATATTTTGTACGTCCAGAACACAAATTATAATAAAAGTTATTTTTTATTTTATTGTCTGTTCCTTAATGTAAGCTTTTAGTATAAAAAGTAGTAAATAGTATAAAAAGTAGTATAAAAGTATAAAAGTATAAAAAATAGTATAAAAAGTAGTAAAAAAATTCCTAATTCCTGATCTGTAGTATAAGAGAAGTGAACTTTATAAACACATGCTAAAATGTAAAGCAGGGTATTTCTCTACCAATCCCATATGACAACATTTCATACATGTTGTGGTTCGGTATCAAAAACTCTTTTATTCAACAGTGGCATCTTTCTGGCACTGAGCTTAAGAAGATATAACTGGTTTTCAACAAAACCGAAGAACACATAGAACACTACCCAACAAATTTTAAACAAACTGCAAAGCTTCTCATAAACTTGTACACCACACTAGGAAACACAATGTAATGAAAAACTCTGCACCTATCTGAATAAACAACCATGTAAAGTAACATAAGATGTCAATGGAGAACGCAAAAGAGAATTCCAGAAGAATAGGAAAAAGCATAAATTTGCAAAAAAAATCCAACCGCAAATTTCAAGGAGTTTGTTGTGAAATTTGAAAATACTGGTTAGATAATAAAACAGAAATCAAAGATACAAGAGTATATACAGTTGTGGTAGTTTTGGTGATGTATAATGTTAATAATTAATTTATTATGATGTTTGCTTTGGTATGGCCAGAATATTAAATTTTATCTCTCCTCCTTACTGAAATCTACTAATTCTTTGCTCTCACATGCTGTCTATCAGAACTTCTGATGTTGAAGACTTAATCGTTTTCCAAAAGAGTATTTTTCATGTCATGAAGTTAAGCATTTCTATTCAGTTTATAGTTATTGATTTGGTTTTATTAGGTTTTAAAGTCAACTAGGTATCCAGCTAAAAATTTATTTGTACTGACTTTGATTTTCATAGCACACCTTTGCACAAGAAACAGCTACACAAACAAATAATCATTTGTGTAGTCTCCCCTACAGTGGCCTGATAACCAGGTCCAAGTAGCGTCAAAACGCCCTACTAGTTCTAAAGCTATGCAGTCATTGTTCAGTTTATTGTTGTATCAATACAAGATAAAACCTGCAAATGTGGTTTCAGGAAGTATTAAACCATGACAATAATGATTTCAGTGAAACCAGGTAAATAAGAATAACTTTACTTGAGCTGTCACATATCAGGAAGAATACATTTTCTCCAAAATACCAGTTAATTTTTTTTTATTTTTTTATTTTTAATGCATGATGGTGAAATCAAATGGAGAAGTATACTTCTTAAGCCTTATTTTAATTATGGCCTATTAACATAATTAAAATTGCAACACTTGCTACTATAGTCTTAAAGAAAATCAAGACTACAGATTCAACTGAGTGGCTACCCATCTGCAGCCCCACCAAAGTCACAACCTGAATTTTGGTAACAGACTCTTTCTGCAAACACAGGGACTGTACTTTCCTCTTTTTGGCTTATTTAAGTAGTCAGACATAAATATCAATTCATCCAAATGTGATTAACCAGTATGAAACTGATATTACAGTAAAGTTGATGCTTCTGTTAAATACGTTCCACAGTAAAATGTTTATTCTTTCATGATTAAAAAGTTTTATTCTTCCTTAGCTGACACTTACTAAGATTCTAAAGGAAATGTTCTGACAAAGAGAAAAATTGCTTAAGTGATCTGCAGCAACAAACTGGGGGAAGAGCATAAACTATGTATTATTTACTTGTGACTCCAAAGATCTTCCAAACAACGTTTGTGCGAATTTACAATCATTTCTACAGTACACACAGAACATGACTTCACATGTCAGTAAATCTGCTTCTCCATAGTAATGTTACTCTCTTGCACTATGCAGAATGCCAGTGTCAGAGCAGGCTGAAGAAGCAATCGTGGAGTGCAGCGAGTCCAGCATATTCAGGCAGTGCAATGCCAATGCAGCAGTTAAGCTCCTGGAAGCAATCTAACCATGTTCACAAGTGGTGAACTGAAACTTGCAGACTCTCGTGCTCAGTGGTGAGAAGTGAACAGTCAAGCCAAACAGCCATGTTAATACAGCTTCCAATTTAAAGTTAGTTTAGTGTTCAATGAAATTTTATCACCTAATCCAAAAGTTTACTGATGCCTGAAGTGGTGAACTCATTCCCTGTTCCTTCCTTTTCCTGTAGAAAACCAATCTATTTTCAGAACAGATAAATCCACCCTCTCTTCTAACTATTCTATGATCTTACTGATATCCCTAAATTTAGCAACCATTTACTGGTTTAAGTGTATCTTTATTAACACCACATGACACGATACAAAGACATATTTTATATATAGTTAATATTCACTTATTTTTGCTTGCTCCACGTCTCTGCATTTTTACCTGTACTGCAAGCACTTAGGAAGATATTTATTCCCCTACTTTCCTTCCCTCCCTTTTTCTGGAGCAGGAAAAAATACCTCTCCTTCCATTTCCCGGTATTTTTAAATCTTTGCTGTAGTTGAGATTATCTGAAGATTTAAGTGAAGCAAGACTTACAAAAGGGGATAATGAAGTGGATTTTTTACATCAACTAGTTGATATAGCAGGGGGGAAGGATTTCTGAGCAGATTCTCCAGCTCTGAGGCAGAAGCAGCAAACCTCAAGCTAAAAGCAGGCCAACAACAATCTCTTCTAGTAAGACTATTTGAATGTTATGGACCTCCATTCTTACTCTTCAACTTTGCCAAGTACCAATTATCTATCCTCTTCTCTCCAGCCAGATTAAATGACTAAAATGAAGTTAAACTCAAGATATAATTCCTATTTAAATACACTATCTTTCAGTAGCAAAAGAGGTTTTTAAAGTTTCTAACAAATTCTAGTTACTTTTTCTTTCTCTTATGCAAGTTTGCCATGACCTTAATTGTTCCAGAAGAACTGCTTACAAAGCCAGGCTGAATGGTAACTACCCAGATTAACAACAAAAAGTATTTTTAGGAAATTGTTTCGTGCAAATTCAGACATCTTACACTGATAAAAGTTACATCAAGACTATTAATAGCCAAATGTGCAAACAACCATGTTTTTTTAAACAGGCTCAAGGACAAGAAAAGGAACTATAGTAAATTGGCTTTGTCACAGACAATATATGCAAAACACTTTTAGACCTGTTATTCTCAAACTATACTTAGCATGATGTTTGATGCTTCTACCTCAAACTCAATAAGACTCAGGTACAAAAACTGGTTCTCTTCCCCACCTCCCCCCACCTAGTTAAATATTTTTTCTTTAAATAAATCTACTAGCTCCGCATACCAGCATTTTTCCTGCTTTGAGGACTACATAACCCTTTGCACAGAATTAAGTACATCCTCAGGAATAAATCTCTTACTCCATTTTTGAAAGGCCTTATTGTATCCAGTCTGTCTGTGTAAAAATGGTATGAAACCTTCAGATAGGGATATCTGTGGGGAAGTTTTGTATCACCTGTGGTTCTTTCACTACCATTCCTTGCTGCGAATGTCTCTAACTCACATGCAATTATTTAGCTTTATCATATTAACATATGAGTTAGTACTGAGCCTTAATATTAAGGCTTCTTGCTTTTAGTTTGTTTTCAAGACAGTGGCACCATTTGTGAACTACCTCCAGAAAGAATGGTTTTCATATTGAAAGTGCGTATCAGAGGCTTATATTCTATGTACAAAGATAAGCCTTGGCTTAGCACCTAATTTCTGAAAGTAACAAAGTAATTATTTAAGTTAATTTTATTGAATTTTTGCCTCTATTACTTTTTAATTGCAACTTTACCTGTATGAGGATTCTTTAAGTAATACTCACTTCCAAAAGATGAGGCGCCACTTGATCCAGAGTTTTTCCTAGATGCTTATCTGGATCTAAACCTGGAAAACAAAACCAAACAAACAAACACAAAAACCCAAAGTGTCAACACATTTTCATAAAGTACTGTTATAATATCAATAAGGGCTTTTTTTTTCTTTAATTTGAAAAAAAAACCCAAACCATACTTCATCAGATTTTTTCCTTATCCCTTCTGAGCAACTGGTTTCCCTGTTTGTGGAAAAAATAAGGCCAATTACCTTTTCACTGCGTGTCAACTATTGTTTTCCTTTCTTAGAAATTTCACTAACCAGTGAAGTAAACATGTATGTCCATGGTAACAAAAATACTACAGAGAACTAGACCTCTCAGTCAGAACTTACCTCTGTAGATACCTACTGATTTAAAATACAAGTTAATTTTCATATAGTTCCTGGAAATTACTGGAAGTGTCAAAGACTGTTTTCCATAACAAAAACTTCTTTGCTAAATCACATTCTCTGTGTGTGACCCACAAAAAAAAAAAAAAAAGGAAAGACTTTAAAAGGATGAAGATGTAAAGAAAACTCAGACTTACAGAATGTCTTGTACCTTCTGATCCATTGCAAAATAGTCTGTATGATGTCTACATTTTGACTCATTCTTCTTGGTAAAAAAGTAACCCTATTAACATTTGGTAATTCCTCTAACTTGCCCTTCTGTGTTCCCATTTCATCCTTTTGACTTTGAGTTTTGCCAACTCATGACTATTAAATGGTCACTTCTCAGGAATAAATCAAATAATTGGCAGAAATTAGTACTAGGATAAAAAACATCCAGTAACGACTGTTTCAAGAGCTGACCATCATCTTCAACCAAATAAATATCCTAGTTGAATTTGACACTAGGTGGTCAAAAGGTCTTAAGATACCAAGTCAATGACAAAAACCAAATTATGACTTCTGAAAGTGAAGGAACACTGAAAAAATTTCGGTGATCACATTTTGTACTGCTCTTGATTCTTGTGCTGCAGGGTTTTTTGCTCTGATTCCAATACTTGTCTATTTCTTCCTACTCTATTGCTTTATACAATAATGGGTATCATTAAAGAGCTGCCACCAGAATGATTCCATTTAGAAGCAATTTCTAAAGTATGTACCCTGCAAAGCACTTTAGATCATTGATGATGAAAGGTGTTATATAAATGTATGGTACACTATTATAGAAAGTCATTGCCGAGTTCAAATAGCTGATATGCCTTTTAATTTTTACAATGATTGCCTTGGTATATTTAAATTCCTGTGAAACTAAAACAAGTTAGAGTGAATAAGATCTCAAAACATTAAAAAAGTTTTTAAATATTTCATTAAAGCACATTAAAAATTCCCTTACTATCTAGGGGAATACTTTAAAAATTATTAATTATTAAAGTGAAAGAGGACTGAGGTTTTTTCCTCCCTCTATTCTTTAATGGTATTGGTTTATTGCTCTTTATTAGCAGACTAAAATGTATGTTGCTAGATGTAAGATAAGGAATATGTTACAAACTTATGAGAAGGGAAAAAGTTGTCAGAAACAGACATGCTAACATGCTGTTTCTTCCACAACTTTTGATATTAAGAAGGATGTACCTATTGTTCTGTCCCTAATGAACACAAAATAATAATTAAAAAAATATTATAGAAATAGTATACAAAATAACTGCTTATGTATACATTATGGATAAACTCTTCAGTAATATTGCACCTACATGAAAATCTGAGAATACAATATACCCTTTCTGTTTCTCAGTAGAAATCTACTTTTCGCTTGTCTTCTTTTGAAAAATATTATTTCCTTTAGTTTCCAATAGACTTGTATGGTTAATGAATAGAGATTCTGCCAGAAACTCTCATCAATAACCAATGTAATCTGTCATTTGCAGAACCAGTAATCCACATCTCAAATCCTTAATGCCACGCATGTATACATGAAAGTGTATGTCTACTGCTACTATTAGTGTAATAAAGTATCTATAACTATACCTACAAAACTGTTAATATGAATCTATACTTTTATTTTGTATGTTTTTCTTTAAACCCATGAGTAGATTGATTCAGACTCTTAAAGTTAGACTAAAAAGAAAAACAATGTATTGTTAATTCTTAGTACATTCCATTTAACCACATCCTCCAGATTTTTCCTCCATGAAACTAGATGTGAAGAAAGCTGGATGGGTGGATAAACCGACAACAAGGTCCAAGGGCCTGGATGGCTGTATGTAGAATTAAGAAATTAATTAGGAAGGGAACTATAATTTGCAGCACTGACATCTATTTTACTTAACTTGCATGTATCAATGGAAACCAATTACAATTCAATTAAAATAGTCACTTTTATTACTTTACTGACTGACCTTGAAGTTAATGCCTGTTTTATTTAATTGCATCATCTGTGAATAAATGTTAACTGTAGAATGTTATGCCCCATTATGTCCAATGTATTTTTTAACTCCCCAACTGAACTACATCAGTCAATTTACTATGTGCTGTCAAGAGAGCAAGTGGGGCTCTATTTCTTTAAGACAGACCAGTACATGATGACGGAAACATCTCAAAAGAGTTGATAATGCTGTTTTTAAAAGCGCTCAGTAAAACAAATTGTCCTCTGAACTTCAGTTTTGTGGCTTAGTTTTACTGTACAATCATAAGTGATAGCACAAATAGTATAATCATTTCCAAACAGTTTTTATTCCTGATAAACCTACTGACAGGAGCAGATACTCTTTCCTGCAGATACCCTCTGGGTTGCAGAGCCCTAGTATGCACAGCCATAAGACAAGTGCTGTAGAGAACTCTAGCAATATCAAAAGACATTCAGGACTTTGTTAGGGCTTTGTTCTGTAGTGAAAAAGATGCATCAAAAGATAACTAAAAGGCATTTCACTAGTGTTGAGTTACGCAGAAGAAAAGTATATTAAATGGTTCACTTTATACACATGTATTAGTGTAGCCTAAAGTGCTCAACTGAGGGGTAACTACCTGATATTGCTTGCATTTATCAAGACCATTAGAAAATCAAGTTCCATTTTCATGGAATGGCATTCAGCTAATAAAATCCACATTCTAAAGCCTCATCTTACTAACAAAAACATGCTTTATACATCTTTAGAATTTCAAAATAGTCTTGATTTTTAAGAAAGTATTTTATTATAAAATTTTCTGGGTTTACCTCTTAGTAAAATGCTGAATAAATAAAAATAAACCAAAATTATTGGTTTTAAGAAAGGGTAGTACAAAAAGTTCGTCTGAAAGCCACACTTAAAGTTTCCTTCTTTCCTTCTCCTGACTTCTTGAGAAGTATTGTTGAGAAGATTAGTACCCTTATGCCATCATTATGACAGTGACAAAGGCTTATCTTCTGATGATGAAGGACAGCATAAAGCACAATAACGTTTCTGGGAAGATCCTAATTAGCTGCTTACCAAAAGCAGAACTATTTAGATCTTTAAATAAGAAAACAGGCAATAAAAGATTTAGGTTTTCTGGTACCAAATTTAGTCTCCTCTCTCTCTCTTCAATTTCTTTCTCAGGAAGAAAATGGCATTAGTAAGGAGGTGATAGAACTTCTAATGTACAGCAATTCAGAAATTTTGAGAGAAAGCAGAAGTGTATAAAGGGTAGATGCAACCACCCATCTTAGAATTGGAACAGAGAAAGCAGGACTATTTCTGAAGGTAAAAATCCTCTACTTTACTTAGAAAAAATTTCACATTTAAACAATACAAAATCACTGATTTTCATGAGCAGGATCAAACACTATTTTTTAAATGATGCAGAATCAGAGTATGTTTCTAATAGCACAGGAGAAACCCATACACAAAAGTATCAGTTGGTAAAGGAGGTTTACTCTGCAGGAGCACAGGAATGTCAGATGCTCTTCATGACATAGAAGTATGCCTGCCACAGAGACATTAATGCAGTGTAAATCTACACCTTAAAAAGCCTTAAACTATTCTTGGTGTCATATTTAGCTTCCATTTCTATGAAGAGCTGAGAAGTGAACTTTTTGTCTATTAGCATAACTTGACAGGTTCATAGTTGATTCTTAGCTTCCTCATAACTTTCACACATGAAAGGCTGTGTAACAATGGTGAACTCAACCAATTCCTTAAATTTCCTATTTCAAAATATTAAAAAAAAAAATAATTGTAAAAGTTGCTTAATTTTCATTAAAAAATGAAGGGAAGTGCAAGACATAAGGGCTATTACTCCACCTCTAAAAGATTTGAGGTGAATATACTCCTAATTTATTGCATAAAAGAGCTAAATTTATGCGACATAATTATGAGCCTACTTATTTTTTTTTCCTTTTTCTTTTTTTTCCTTTTTCTTTTTTTTTTCATATGGGGTAATTTACCTAGTGTGGGAATTGTACAGGGGTGGAATCCGAAAGTGCAGTAACTCAAGATAATTGGTAAAGTTATAAAACATTAAACTTTAAGCAGTTTTAGCATATTTTTCATTAGGAACACAGCTTATCTTCTTTCTCAGAAATACATCAAATATGTTCTAAATTAGGTTAGTCTGATGTCATCAAATCTTAGAATACTAAGAGGTAAAAGGCTCTAAAACTACTCATACCAGCAATGTTAATTTTATCTGTAATCTCTTGTGATTTTTCTTTTTATTTTTTAACATCAAAGTTATTTGTGTTCTAGTTACATCTAGAATTCAAAGCAACTTAGCTCTGCCATTTCAGGAACAGAAACCTCAGTAAGTCTTTGAAGAAATTTTGTATTGTTTCACCAAATAATGAAGCAGTATTTTCACACAGATCCTTATGTTCACAGTTTAAAAGATTGTGGAAGAATTGCTTTATAACAGCATTAAACTGCTTTTAATCAAATCCAATACTATACAGCAAATGATTCAGATAATTGAAAATACTGCCTCAGTCAACTTCCTCTCAGGACTTTCAACAGACTTCAGAGACTTAAAAGGTATTACAGGCTCAGTTCATATAGCCAGATGTATGACTTTCTCAATATAAACCTGTTTTCAGTGGGTTTTATTTGAAATATTTTGAGTAGAATTACTTTAGA